TCATTAATATACAGTTGAAGCCAGAATTATTTTCCCCCCATTTAATTTTTTTTTATGTTTCTCAAATGATGTTTAATAAAGCAAAGAATTTTTCACAGTATTTCCTATAATATAATTTTTTTTCTGAAGAAAGTCTTATTTTTTTAGGCTAAAATTAAAACAGTTTTTACATTTTTTAATACATTTTAAGGTCAATATTATTAGCCCCCTTAAGCTATATTTATTTTTAGTTATTAATATATAACTTAAGCACACTTATTTTTAATTCATTTATTAATTTTAGGTTTGCTTTGCGTTAAATTTTGTTTTTTGGAATGGTTACAAAAAGAAATATTAATCAATTTATTTGTGATGAAGACAAGAACGGGGAGATGAACTAAAAATAATAATTTTTTTCCTTTTTTTTTTGTTTTTGGTTGAATTAATCTTTCTATAAGTGTACTTTCTTAATATTATTATTTTTTATTAACAAAGCATACAGACTGAAATATTTTAAATCAACTACCCCTATGCCTCTCCGCTGTGGTCTCTTTAAACTGAGGTATCCAATGAATAGAAGTTAACAGAAAAACAAAAACAAAAGTACAGTATCAAGAATGACGGATCAATAGAAAGCAAAATAAGGCAATCACTCTGGGTCCTAATCATTGATTTGTGCAATAAACAGAGATTTTGTCGGCAGCTGTAGTGCAGATCTTTAATGTACACATTTGTACCAAGTTCACTTGAGCCCTATGCGTACTTTAATTTACGATCAATGTGAACTGAGCTATTGATACAGCATAACATTGTATCGTTGTTCAACAAAATGTCTTAAAGACTTGTTAGTTTTTCTGGATGTGATTCATTACCGTGTGTCATACGAGACAATCTGCAATTCCAATTTGATCTAAATGTAAAATCTAATAATATTTCGCAATCCGTTGGTGTACCTTCTTGACCCAGAACACCACCCTGGTCCATTAATCCCAAGCTAATAACTCCTGGCTGACAGCAGTAACACAGTGTTCACATCAGAACTTCACATCTACTGTTTATGGTTTATATTTTACCATTAAGCATAAACACCTTACTAATAACTCTGCCTCCACCCAACACCGATGCCTATATGGGTTTCAGAGGGACTGATACTCAACACAGTGTACTACACGCTGGATTTAGCACATTAGTACGGTAATCTCCCAGTATTAGCACAATTCCACACGAGCGCATAAATGGCGGCTCCCCGTAGACGGGTTAAAACCTCCATCCATCACCTGAGCGATTCAGATTGTGTTAGAAATGCGTCTGGTCACACTTTACTAAATCAGCGAATGCGTGAGTCAGATAATGCACCCATCGCGTCATGAAATGGAAAACCGAGAGTGCCGTCTATATTTGTGCGTGCAGACGAAAGATGTGGCTAAAGGTCAGTTTCCAGGTTTGAGACTGAATTTGTCAGCATTGTGTCTCTGAGCAAAGCACTTGATCCCGAGTCACACTGAAGAGATGTAATACATCTCCTGGATCACAATTGAGGATCACATATGGTGTGAAAAATGAACCACTGGGCCACCTTTTTATTTTACACCTTTTTAATAGTTACACCTTTTAAAATGTTTGTTTTTATTATGTTTATTATATTCTCATGTTTTTTTATTATAGTAATTTAACAGTTGTTTTCAGTACTTAATTAATTTTAAGGTATAACAACTCACAAGTACAAGTAATTCTTAAGTTTATCAAAAGATGAACTTTTTATTTAGTGTATTTAGGCTGTTATGCATTTGTCATTATGCAAAGATATGCATTAGTCAGACTTTTGTATTATCAAATAGCATCTATATTTATTAATATTAAGATACAACATTTTTCGTTGCACAGTTTGGGTTTGAGAGCATGTTGTATATAGCATACTCTAAAAATGATTGACTGTCATATAACCTTATGTTGGGTCAAATATGGACAAAGAAATAGCTGCTTTAAAAAAAATAATTACAATGATTAATTTTAATTGATCTAAAATTTTACCATAATTTATTATGCACTAAAACCCAATGCTGGGTCACATCCAGGCAAACCCGACCGTTGGATTAGAAAGTGTCATTTTAATTTAATAGAAACAAATAACATTAACAAACCAATTTTTTTTTGAGTGTATGTGTATGTAAAATGATGGGTTGTCATAACCCAATGTTGGGTCAAATGTAGCCAAACTCAAATGCTGAGAAAATTGGCATTTATTTGAAAGAGAAAAAAAAAAACACAATCAATTGTGTATAACTGATCTAAACATTTTACCATAATTTATTTTGTGCTTTTAAAAATGTTGGGTTGTCAAAACCGAATGTTGGGTAAGACATAGGTAAACCCAATCGCTGGGTTAAAAAGTGTTATTTAAATTAAATCGAAAAAATAACCCAATACTGGGTTTGGTAATTTTTGACTCAATGTTGGGTCATGACAACCCAGAATTTTTTAGAGTGTATGGATTTTAAAAATGATGGGTTGCCAAAACCCAATGTTGAGTCAAATATAGCCAAACCCAATAGCTGAGTTAAAAAGAGACATATATAAAAAAAAATGTAAAAATCAATTGTGTATAACTGATCTAAACATTCCACCATAATTTACTTTGTGCTTTTAAAAATGTTGGGTTGTCAAAACCCAATGTTGGGTCAGATATAGACAAACCCAGTCGCTGGGTTTAAATGTGTTATTTAAATTAAATCGAAAAATGGATTTGGCCATTTTTGACTCAATGCTGAGTTATGACAATGCAGAATGTTTTAGAGTGTATGCATTTTAAAATGATGGGTTGCCATTACACAACCCATAAAATTGCTAAGTTAAAAAAGTAATATATTTTCTATCTAAACATCTTTCTATATTTTCGATCTGAACATTTTACCATAATTTACTACTATGCGCTTTAAAAATGCTGGATTGTCAAATATTGGTAAACATAATCATGGTGTTAAAAAATGTATTTAAATTAAATTATATATATATATATATATATATATATATATATATATATATATATATATATATAGACTGAATGTTGGGTCATGACAACCCAGAATTTTTTAGAGTGTATGGATTTTTAAAAATGATGGGTTGTCATAACCCAACTTGGGGGCAAATATGGCTAAACCTAATTGCCAAGTCAAAAAGTGTAATTTATTTGAAACAAATGAGTCACAAACAATTGTGTATAACTGATCTAAACATTATACCATAATTTACTATGCACTTTTAACAAAATTCTGGGTTGTCGAAACCTAACGTTGAGTCAGATCAGATATAGGCAAACTGGGTTAAAAACCCATTATTCAAATTAAATTGAAAAAAGTATTCATCCTAACATTGAGTTTGGCCATATTTGACTCAATATCAGGTCATGACAACCCAGAATTCTTTTAGAAAAGATTAGTTGTCACAACTCAACTTTTTGAGACAAAAAGTTTCATTTCTTTGAAGCTAATGAATCAAAATCAATTGTGTACAGTATAACTGATCTAAAAGTGTTAGCATAAATTACTATGCGCTTTAAAACATTCCGCTTGGTCCAATTCCAAGGTTGGGTCAGATATAGGCAAAGCCAATTGCTAGATTAATATATATATATATATATATAATTTTTTTTTTAAATAAAATTTTACCCATTTTCAACCAATCGCTGAGTTAAAAAGAGTAATTAAAATTCAATTGGAAAAAAAAAAATTGCTCAAAATTGGGTTTGACCATTTTTAATTCAAAGTCGGGTCATGATAACCCAAACTTTTGTTTGTATGTGTTTTTAAAAAAAAGATCAGTTGTCATAATCCAACTTTGGGTCAAATATGGCCAAACTCAATCGTGGAGTTAAAGAGTGTATATTCTTTTGAAGGAATTCATTGTTTATAAGCGATCTAAAATGTTACCATAATTTACTATGCAAAGAAAATGCT